CCTGGAAAACACCATGAACTGAAGATCCTGGAAGGCTACAGTTTATGGGGTCACAGAGAGTAGGACACAACTGAGCGACTTCACTTTCTTTACTGATTTTATCATATTTTAAATTCTAAAAAGGAATCTTGAAGGCTTAGAATAAATTCCTCTCATATACCCAAATATTCTCCCACATTCAGCCACTGAAAGCATCATCCTCATCAATTACATGTCAAAAATCTGCCTGTCTTTTATAAACACAAATTAGCACTTTGATTTCCAGAAGAACTTAACATAAGCTTCAGAATGATCACTAGACAAACAGGTTTTGCCTGCTAAAGAGGAAATTACTATTCTACATATTTAGAGGGGGGGATATTCCAGTGATGACAAGACATATCTGTTTCCAACAAATAAGAAATGAAGTGGAGTGGGGGTGGGTATGGAAGAGAAGGTTCAGGAAGCCCATCTCAGAACCAGTGAGCTCTGGGTGACATGTGTGAAGTTCATGGGAAAATGGCAGCTGTTCCTGGGTGAAATACAAAATTTTGTCCAACCTGTTCCCGGATTCTTCTGTCATTGTGAGAAAAGCAAGTACACCCTCGACTTTGATCCAGGCTTCTCTGGATTAATAATGTTGGAGGGAGAGGCATGCTGATGGGGATACTAAGAGTCTGAGGAAGACTGGACGCTCCTGGTCTGTTGATTTCTGCAAGATACTGAGGTTCTACATCTTACGATGGTTTTCATTCTCCAAATGCAATTCAAATTTGAATATTTTCTTTTTCAATGTCTCCTCTAATTCTATTGTTGTTCCCCAACACGGAGAGACAGTGATCTCTTCCAAGAAGTTCACCCAACTGGTCTGATCGCTAGAGATCTAGTTTCTACTCTATGCCTTCATGTGCTCTGGGGGTACCGTATTTTCTATTTGCTTTCAGCGTTCTTAACAAATGGAAAAGTTCTGTCAAATGGTGCCTCCTCCACTAAGTTGTTTAAGCAATAGCAGTTGTAGCAGCAACACGTAGGCAAAGTATTTTAGAAATGGCTCCTCACCCCTTCAAGCATTGATATTGACCACATACAACACAAAAGCAACTTTGACAGTGATCTTGGCTTCTGCTCATTGGGAAGTAGACTAAGACCAGAGCATATTTTTTTTTCTTTCTCAGTTTATCACAAGAGCTGAAGGTTGGAAACACACAACTATCAGTGTGAAGTTGGACTCTTAAGTCATGCTACATCTTTACATTCACCAGACTCCTAACAGTTCAGCCTTTGGGCCTAAAGCAGTTGCATGCATACTTTCACTTGACACTAATTCTAAATTTCAGACTTATAAAACTCCTGAGACAGAGAAACACTAAATGTCAATAGCCTACATTGTACAAAACCCCTTCAAAGTATGAGCCTGAAAGAACAAAAGACAAACAACACAATAACCACACATGTGAGCATGCAAACACACACACACATACACACACACTAGATAAAAGAGGAAGAAACGCAAGGCAAAATGCAGCAACATTCCTTAAGAGGTTTATATTTCTTGTATTTTTCTCTTTAATTATGAGTTAGTCCCTAAAAGGGGACATTTTTCACAAGTCACTTGCAAGGAATGTAAACAACTACCTTCTAAATCATCCTAGCAGAAATTAGCATGACTATCTGTGAAATAGACTGTAAACTTGAGTAGATGTTTCACAATAATTGTTAAGCATGAAGGACTGTATCACTGATTTGAGAAGTATGGAAAACACCTTCTAAATTATATAATTTTGAGCTGAAGTGATCATTTTCCCACTGATAATTAAATCCCCATATAGCTTGGTACCACATCATCAATTCACGAACAAGGGTTTGGAAAGCCACTTTTTAGCAACGTAAGACAGATCTACTGTAGCACTAAAAATGAGTACCACTCAGTAGACAGAAACATTTCCGGAGATTAGAGGCAGAGAGCAAAACGCCCTGTATATCACAACACACCAGGAGTTGATGTATGCTTGTTATGGGACTAGCATGGGCACAACCCAACTGTCAATAGACCACTTCTAGTACTATCAGAGAACTGGTGATACTGGGGGTCCTCGTTTCTTGGAAAAAACATCCTTCCTTTGGATAGCTAGCCTATCACTGGCTGCTATAGCCCCTCACCCCTCTATGTGAGTAGCTCCATCCATTTCACCAGTTTCAATTCCAACCACCATCTTCAAACTCTTTAGCTTAATGTTATTAAGGCTGCATGTAAAACTCTGACTTACATTAACAATCATGTAAGAAATTGAAAAAAACAGAGTCCTTGAGCAGGCTGATTTGAATAGCAGGATCTGACAATATGAGAAGTAACACACTTGATACTCTTAACATTCTTAGGCTTTGCGTTGAGAAATACAATGCAGGTCCACTGAAGAAACGAGGCACAAATATACTAGATATTTGCATGAATCATTGCATTTGGGAACAGTAGTTGTTGAAATAGGTAATAGGTAATGTCCAAATGGCTAAAGTACTTCCTACCATTACAGAGGAAACAAATTTCTGAACCACATTCTTTGTCGGAGATCAGATGTCAGAGCTCTGGTCAATAATTCCAGAAATGGATGGAAGCATCTGAGATGCTTTTTACAGATTCAAAAGAAGAATAACGACATATGAGCAAAGACATGGAGGTGATGATGGTGGAGAACAAATTTAGTTTAGGGAGGACTTCTTGGCTCTAAAATCTTTATTATTATTTATTATCACGTAACACTTCACTGGATACAACCAGTTTTCAGTGGACTAAAAACTGAAATCTTTGTTTCATAAATTCATTAGTGCTTTAATTGTCTCAGGATGAGAATTAAAGAGTAAGTATATCAAACATATACACATATGCATATGTATACAATATTTTTAAGTGAACTGATATTTCTTATTTCCTCCAGCAGAGGTCAGAAAATAGCAACACAGGAACATGAAAATCTATGTACCAAAAGAATATTTTAGAGTGATTTTCTCTAGATGAGATTATTGAAGGGATTTTTTAATTGTTTTTCTCTACCCAAGTTTTCTTCTTATATTTTTACAATAAACCTGCTTTCCTTTTGTAATAATTAGAAAGCAATAACATTCATTTGAATTTCATGAAGACCAATGTTGGCATATATATTTATTCTCTATCAAATCAGAGATAGTGTTTAATTATTTTCTTAGCTGCATGTGGATTATATGAAATAGCTAAAGAAAGAAGCATATTTGGTCATCATTCTGAAAAATTCAAGTATAACATCCTCGCCACAACTGATGGCTGTGAGCAATCTCTTTCAAACAAGGAACATAGTGTTGGCGGAAAGATTTCCAGAAAAACGAAGTGTCCTGAACATAGCCCCTGACTGCCAAGAAACCCTGCCCACACAAAGACAGAAAAATGAATTTAATTTCTAGTTATCATCTCCTTTGTCCAGAGAAATCTAAAAGAGATCCTAATGTTCTGGGAATTCAGTCTCTGCAAGTCTTAAATGTTAGGACATGAAGACAGAAGAAATCAGTCAAGATGATCTACATATAAAAGCCAGGAACACAATGAATGATGTTTACAAGGAGTTGCTGATGAATGTTCAATAAATCATGCTATCACCATGCTTCATTTTCATTTCTAATTCATGTGTCTCTTTTCCTACTAGACACATGGAAGCAAGGTGAAAAGGCTCATAAAACAAAATCTGAAGATCAAACAAAACATTTATTATAAATGTTACCCACATTATACCAAATCAGATAGATTTTTATTTTCTGTTTCATTAAACAATTCACAACATATAGTCTATTGTTTGTCCTTCTTAATATTATCACCCACTTATAATATACACGTTGACATTATTATGTGATTCAAAACTAACCGTTGCTAGTTTCTTCTGTCTCCTAAGGGTGTAATTTTTTCCAGTGAGGAACTTGTCTCTATATTGCTCAATTCCATTTTAGGAGGTAAGTAAGGAAGAGAGAGGAAAGATTGAAATTAAAAATCTCTGCCAGTCCTTCTGTGGGACTTCAGAGTAGGGTCCAGCACAGTTGACTGTTTGTCAGAGAACATCAGTAATATTTTGGACCAAGACAGAGATGCTGGGAAAACAAGGATCAGGGAATTGTTTGAAGAGTCTAAAGGGAGAAACATGGTGGGAGACTGGAATCCACAGAAAAATGTGGCCAGTGAGAAATCACCAAGGGCGCCCTGTTTGAAGAGCTTCCTAGAATTACAATGTCCGATATTCAGTTCTAAGTCGTTTCTGTGATTGAACCCCTCACTCCCACTTTTCAAAATTTCAGTACAGTCTACTGAACTGGGGTGGTCCAAAGAAGTCAAGACAAAGAGGTGAATTTGAATCCAGGTTGACATAGAGCAAAGGAAAGTAGAGAGTCATAGGCCATGAATGTGAATGAGCATATGTGTCATGGAAGCAAGAACCATGGACCACAAATGATCATGAGAATGTGAGACCCAGTAAACTCACAGAAATTTGAGGGAGATCAATGGAGCTTTCCCACAGAAGATGAAATTTTGGACTTGACCTATTTTTATGTAAATCTCCAAAAGAGAGTGAGTTTAGCCTATATATAGGACATAATAACCAAATTTCAAAATAATTACATTAGACATACTGCAAATACTCTATCACGTGATGTTTAAGATAACATTTGTAAAACTGTACGCAAGTTTTTATATACATGAAAGAGCCCTAATTATTTTAATAGAGGTATTTAATAAACCATATATGTTTTTTTCTCTATTGGTTTTGTTCAACTTGTTACCAAATGGTTAATACCACTTCATCAATAACCTTCCCAAATAGGTTTAGAATTAGTCTTTGAAAACAGTAAAAAAAATTCTTAGAATGGTTGACATATACTTATAAAATACATATGCGTCATTCAAGGATGAAGGAGATTGTCTGAGGGGAGGATCTGGAATTTGTACTAATATATGGAAATACCGATAGAAAAATCTCCAAATCCTTCAAAGGTTGTTCCAGGCTTACCTTTGTATGGTGAATCAGACGCTCTACTTCATTCACTTTGTAGGTCTCCAATCCTAGCTCCTTGGATAATCTTAAGATATGATTCTGAGTTGGCCCAACATAAGATCCTCCAAGGTCCACATATTTAACTTTTTGGTTCTGTTTTCCCATGGGAAGAAATAAAAATAAATATTTGTGAAACTGTTATTCTTAAGATAAAAAAGACAGCCCTAAAAAAAGCAGATTGGCATTTCACAGGTTCTAGACACACCTTGAGGAATATCTATAGAAAATTGGACTCTGTTCTCGACTCTACCTCATTCATGCAACTAAATGGTTATTGAATCATTCCTAATTTTAAACTAAAATTGATTGGACTTGAAATAAGCAAGGGATTTCTGAACCCCATCATTCTCACTACGTACCACAACGTGCTCTGGGTTTTACTGACTTAGATTTGTAAACTATGAATTATTGATGAATTTCTCTTTACTTAGCATTTCTGGCTAATTTTGAGGCACCTAACGCTAGAGGAAAAGCAAGAAAGGAAAAGACCACTTTTTTATTGAAGTATAGTTGATTTACAATGTTTCAGGTGTGTAGCAAAAAGATTCAGTTTTATGTGTGTGTGTATATATATATGTGTGTGTATATATATATATATATATTATTTTTCAGATTGTTTTCCATTATAGGTTAGTAGAAATTTTTTATATACTTCCCTGTGCTATACAGTAGTTCCTTGTTGTTTATTTTATATATAGTAGTGTGTATCTGTTAATCCCAAACTCCTAATTTTAATCCCAAACTCCATTCCCCTCTATTCACTTTGGTAACCATGTTTGTTTTCTATGTGAGTCAGTTTCTGTTTTGTAAGTTCATCTGTATCATTTTTAAAGCATTTACATATAAATGATATCATATGATAATTGCCTTTCTTTGTGTGACTTTCTTCACCTAGTATGATAAACTCTAAGTCCATCCAGGAAATGACAATTTCTTTTGTGGTTAGTTAAACCAGACACTTGAAAGATAGCATTAGAGTCCTAATTTAAACCTTTGAAATTGTTCTTATGTTCAGTAGAAAGGTTTTCATATGGTTTTGAATTAGCTTCCTTTGCAATGACTAAGGACCAATCTTTGAAAAAGAGTGACTAGAAAAACTCCCTATGTTTGAACGCATCCCAACATAACTGGATTCCTAATAGTCAGGGGCACCAGAGCAGGTCCTTCTTTTCTGTTTTTGTTTGTTTATTGTATGATGGTATGGTTTAGTTGCTAAGTTGCATCCAACTCCTGAGATCCCATGGACTATAGCCCTCCAGGCTCCTCTGTCCATGGGATTCTCCAGGCAAGAATACTGGTGTGGGTTGCCATTTCCTTCTCCAGGGGATCTTCCTGACCCAGGGATGGAACTTGGGTCTCTTGCATTGGCAGGTGGATTCTTTATCACCTGAGTCACTATACCTCCCCCACTTAAAAAAAAGGGGGAATATATGTTTCATAAGGGCAGGGAGTCTTTGTTTTACTCACTAATGTATTTCAAACATCTAATTATTGATGCAATTATATATGGGGAAAGTGCCAAATGTTATGAGGCAAGAAGAGAAAATGGACAGAAGAAAGACATGGAAAGAAAGCAAATTGAGAGGCCGTGGAGTGTTTTGAAGTAATTTTCACTCTCTTGAAAAGAGTCAAGTGAAGTTCAAGACTTTCAGAAAGAAAAAAGGAAACTCAGTTTCAGGGTCACATTTTTCCAGCCCATTCTTATTGTCTTACCCTAAGGGTGTAAGTCCTGCCTCCCACGCGGTCCCGGGCTTCCAGAACAATCACATTCAGGCCAGAGTCATGCAGAAGTTTGGCTGCTGCCATACCTGGTAGAAAATACAAGAAGAAATCAGAATCAAACACTCAACTCCAGATAAGCTCCCCATGCTAACAGCCAATGAGAAAAGTCTATGTTGGCTCATAAACATAATATATCATCACGTTCAACTTAACCAACTTACAGGTGTCTAGGGTTTCTCAATAGAGACCCAGATTCCAAGTCTGCAAAACCAACTGCTATTTCTTGGAAGAATAAAAAAGGGTTTCATGTTTAGTAAAAGTCTCAAACCTTAAAAAACTTCTTTGGTCACTATATCAAAATGTTTATCTTTAAAGACTAAATTACATGATTATGTGTCTGACAACATGAAAGAAAACACAAAGCCCCACAAAAAAGAAATGTATAAGCCCCAGCAAACCCAAGACCAAATGGGGCAACTGACTTCATTCTCAAGGCAAATCTGAAAATCCAATAAATTTAGGTGAAGGAGTGAAGGGGTGAGTCAATCTTCAAAGCATGTGAAAGGACCTAAAATTCACTATTAAAACTGAACTTTGGGAAGTTGATGTAAACTTACAAAACCAAAGACATAAAATGCAACTCATTTAATTGTGCTCATTCCCTGTAGGATCTGTCACTGAAGAATAAAATGACTCCATTCATTTATTCATCTACTAATGTAGTCAAAAATACTGTATACCTACTACCATTCCAACATCAAGAAATCAACATAACAAAACAGTTTACTGAGATACATTTATATACAATAAATTTTAACCAATGAGTTCAGTGAGTTTTGATAAAGTATAAAGCTTAGTGTAGAGTTCAAATATGTAATTTTTGGTATAAGAACATCCTGAATGTAGTTTTTGAACTCACAAATCTTCAAATTCTGCATCTTTGACTTATAGAGTTTAGTAAGAGTTTTTTCAGACAAGATAACTCTAGTGTTCTTACCACAATGAATTGAATTTACTCAGTTCCAAATACCTTACTCATTTGCTTTATGAAATCAAACAAAATCAAGGAAATGCCAAAATGCTGTGCCTTACAGAGAAATGAAACAGTTTCTACCTTGTCTTTTAAAAATAATAGCTCTGGAACTTTTAGATCCCACTAGTGGTAAAGAATCCATCTGCCAATGCAGGAGACACAGGAGATGCAGTTTCAATCCCTGGGTTGAGAAGATCCCCTGGAAGAGGAAATGGCAACCCATTCCAGTATTCTTGACCGGAAAATCCCATGGACAGAGGAGCCTGGCGGGCTACAATCCATGGGGTCGCAAAGAGTCAGACACGATTGAGCAAAAATCCCTATGAAAATAGCTCACATTCCTATAGTGCATACAACATTTCAGATGCTATTCTGAGTGTTTTAATGTATCAATTCAATGAATTTTCATAGCAATCCAATTTTAAAAAAAGGTACTACTGATATTCCCATTTTATGGCTGAGGAAACTGAAGCACAAAGAGGTGTCCAAGATCACATAATGAGCCAGCAACAAAGCCAGACAGTTTCACGCCAGTGTCCGCTTCTATAACCCCTATGAGCATTGGTTTCCATGGGGCCTCAGAGCCATCCTTTTCATAAATCGCATCTCTCAATTTCTGCTTCAGGAGAAATTACATTTCAAAAGTGTTTTTCACTTTGTTTGGGTCAACCATGTTTTGAAAGCACATTTGTATCTTGTGGTTTGATAAGAATCCATGGAACGTAAGATATGAGTCTACCGAGGAAGCCATAATGAAAAGACGAGGCTCCATTCACCCTCTGTGAGCTGTCCTAAAAGAGGAAACCCATTTTTTTTAAAGAGGCTTATGTGACATTTCATTATTTGAGTTAATCCACCTTCTGATAACTGTCCTTGGAGACAAGGCCAGAACATCCAGCAGGTGGTGGGGTGATGGTGCCAAAGTCCACCCCCCCACACACACAGTGTGCACAAGCATCGCACAACCCTAATTTAGAAATACAAGGCTTGGATTTTTAACTACAGTTTCCTAATTTTACCTCCATAAAGAAAAAAAAAGAAAACCTTTCTATTGAGTCAAAATTGCCCACGATTCAATGCCATCTCTCTTATCAAGCATCAGTTCAACAAATGAAATATGAAATAACATGTAGCCATAGTAACAGCAGTTATCATAGAATTCAGATAGACTTGCTAAGCATGTTGAGGCTTAAAAAGGGGCTCAGAATGAAACACAACATCACTCAAATACACTAGTATTTTATAGTCCACAAAAGACATTACTAAGTAAGTAAGTAATGCCATACAGAAACATTTACTAGAACAAGCCATCAAATCATTATCAAATCATTGACTAAATTTCTCTAGGTTCATGTGCCTTAGAAAAGCATAAATAGAAATTACAAAAGTATCTTTAAATAGAGCAATGCAAAAATATGTTGTGGGAAATACCTCACAATTTGTCTCACTCATGCTCATGCGGGGTGGTATTCAAAATGCTTGTTGGACATTAACCGACAAAGACTGATTTGAAAAATAATTGACCCAAATAACAATGGCTTAAGAAAGTCCTTGCAGTTTGTTTCTGTTTAGTCGCTAAGCTGTGTCTGACTCTTTGCAACCCCATGGACTGCAGCATGCCAGGCTTCCCTGTCCTTCACTATCCCCTGGAGTTTGCTCAAACTCATGTCCATTGAGTCGGTGATGCCATCCAACCATCTCATCCTCTGCATTTTAGGAAGGGGGAGTTTTAGGGTACCAAAGAAACTGAGGAGTTGGAGTCTGGTCTGGAGGTTATTAAGATTGTCAAGATGTATAAACAACATGGTCTTACTGTACAGCACAGAGAACTATATCAAATATCTTCTGATAAATCACAATGGAAAAAACACTTAAAAAAGAAGGTATGTATGTATAGATAGATAGATAGATAGATATAACAGAATCACTGTGCTCTACAGCAGAAATTAATCCAAACATTGTAAACCAGTTATATACTTCAATAAAATTTTTTTAATAAAGAAAATTTAAAAAGATTGTTTACATGTAGCTCTCAAGGGAGGGGCTTCCCCAGTGACTCAGTGGTAAAGAATTCGCCTGCTAATATAGGAGACAAGGAGATGAGGGTTCGATCCCTGGCTTGGGAAGATCCCCTGGAGGAGGAACTGGCAACCCACTCCAATATTCTTGCCTGGGAAATCCCATGGACAGAGGAGACTGGTGGGCTACAGTCCATAGTCCATGGTGTTGTTCAGTGTTACACAACTGAGCTCTCAAGGGATTCCTCACTGATGACTGGCAAAAGGATTAATGGTTTGATTAATCAAAAGATAAGCAAACAACTAAGGACCCAGAGCCCCCAGGGCTAACAACAAGGTTGTTTTCCAAGAGTTCATGTTTATGTCAGTAATTTGGAGCTTTTAACACATTTTGCCATAAAACAAAAATAGGAGAGATGGTGTGTTCTCTTGGAAATCTGAGAATTTTAAAATGTAATACTATTGTGAAAAATAATATAAAGTAGAAACACTAAACAAAGTAATCAGTGCTGTTGAAACCCTTAGGCAATCATTTCCTGACACAATGCAGTAACAGCTAAAAAAAAAGGAGAAAGAAAATATCCACGATAACAACAAACGCCATCATAAAGCATTGAGCATTGCTTTGCTCTGTGGGAAGTAGTGTTTCACATAGAAAACCCATTTGATTTTCACCACAATACTGACAGGTATTATTATCCTCATTTTATTTTTTTATTATTTTTTTATTATCCTCATTTTAAAAAGAAAAAAAATGGAGGCTAAGAAACATTCACTGACTTGCCATAGACTATACAATAGTAAATGGTGAGGGTTCAGCCCCAAACCGGAATTCTTAGCCACCACCCTTGGACCAAAAAGCAAAAGTTAAAAATGCAGTAACTCTATACACAGATTGGTGCAATGTCTTAAAAACATTCTGCTTTCCATCTAAACAGAAGAATCTTAAAATATTGGTTTTTCTTTTAAACAGATATTTAATTTTTGCAAACAGTTTGAAAGTGAAAGTGGAAATAAAGTCTCTCAGTTGTATCTGACTCTTTGTGACCCCATGGACTGCATGCAGCCTGCCAGGCTCCTCCGTCCATGGCATTTTCCAGGCAAGCATACTGGAGTGGGTTGCCATTTCCTTCTCCAGGGATTGAACCCAGATCTCCCACATTATGGCAGACTGTTTAGGCAACCAGTTTAGAAACAAGTATATAATCGTTGCCTACTTTTAAAAAGCTAATAAAAACTTGAATTTAATATGCAGGATCAATGAAAATTTCACAAACAAATGATTATTTGGCACGTTCAGAGGTAGCCCCTATGTGTCCTAGACAGATCCCTGATAAGATCATCTCACTTGTTAGTTCTAAATGGTGCAGGATCTATGGTATTTTGGCTCAGGGAGTCTCCTTTGGATGAATAAGCATAGTATGGCATAGCTGACTAAATGGTAGACAAAAGCCTAATGCCATGAAACAATCAAAATATTGCATCTCCCTTTCCACGTAGTTCACTTGGAAAATTTCCTCAAAGTGATGACTATCTCAATTATTTGGATATTTCAATCTGTATTAGACACACAAATTATTTTAAGTACCTAGAAATCAGTAGATTGCAGCATTATTAACATTCTATGCTTCCTGTTTTGTGCCATGGAAAAGGGCTTAAGAGTTAGAGACTGTAGGAGGCTGAAAAGTACACAGTGCAAGTAACAAAAAGGCTTCTAAGAGTCTTAAGAACAGTAAAGGAGTTGGGATTTGGAAGGAAGATAAAAATCAAAAGCACCATCTGCCTCACTCTTAGCTTTGTCAGTCTGTCTCATGTCCTTCCTATCAAAAGCTGATATTTAACAGAATTTTTCGGCATTTTGAAATGCAAGGCTAATTGTTCTGAAAACATTATCAAATATCAGTACTTCCATGTTACAAAGGACTTTTTCTCAGTTTAAAATTATCAAAAAAGTATCGTGTTGACCAAAACTGAGAGAAAAAAATTCACGGTACCGCAAAGCATCTCTAAACTTATAACCCTAGTAAACATTATA